TGACACAACACGAATAGCAGAGTACCCTCACAATGTACTGAAGAAAGCCGCAATGATGAGTTTCACTACCGACCAAATACAGATCTAAGTTGATAGGCGAAATGTAAAATTCCCACCGGCAAAGCTGGTGCTACCAAATCCTCGGCTTCACTTTGAAAGGCAACCGACGTAAGCAAGGCAACCATCAACAGATCTATCCTCAATGAGTAGACTGCCTCCTTGTCTACCTAGACTCAAACACTCACACTTATAGACACGAAGTGAAGACAACATGCATTTCTGTACCGTTAAGCATAGAGGAAATAATAATAGAAGTCACTCTGTTGGTGGGTCTTTGATCATCGGCGCACCCAATGGGCAAACCAGTCAATTTTTGTAGTCCACGCACCATTGTAGGCCTCGTTGAACTTAGCGTTGAAGTAGTTCAGCGCCTCCTCCTCGTCATGCAGCTCCACAGCCAGCGTCTTGCGCACGTACTCCAGATCACCGGCACAAGTGAGCTCGGGCAGACCGGAGGGCACCATCATGGCGAGGAGGGTAAGGAGCAGATTTGAATGCTGCCGCAGAATGCGGTATGCATCCCCGCACAGCCGTGTGAAATCCATGAATCCCTTGCTTCGATAGGGCTTCTCTTCCCCTGAATGAACAGAGTCAGAAAGGTGAGGGGAGGAAAGAAATAAGCACGCAACACTATTTCTTGGTAAAACTGGGCTTTTTTGCATCCACTTGAGCGTCACACATTAGTAGGTACAGCTGCATTTAAACGCCACCTTTCTTTAATGACAGGTACTGAAATGGTCAACAAATACAGAAACCTGGCACCTACACTTCAAGTTTGACCCAACACCCACTCGAAGCGGTGATCCAGTCTCTAATGCAATGTAAGCCACGTGGGCTGCAAATATGTAGGCAAGGGAAAGGAGGGGAGGGGGTGAGGAGGATGAATAGCAAGCCGAAAAATTGTGAATAAACCATTGTGACGGCCACTGAGCAGTGGCAGCTTAAACAAGATTAAACGAAGGGTGCGAGAACTAAGCTTTACACAGGCAACGTTGATAACTACAGTTGCTAGCACTGAAGGCAAGATCGTGGTGTTTAGTTGAAATCAAATCACCTAACCTCGAGCAATGACACAAGCGAAGTCACTTGTCAGCACAAACGGTACACGTTCCCGTGTGATGCCAAACTTCTTCTTCTTGTTATTAAGAATGTGACCAAAGTCGATGTGAAATAGGCGACCCGAATCATCCACCATGATATTATCATTGTGCCGGTCGCGAATGCCCAGTACAAAGGTTGCCACGCAGTAGCCTGCGCAGCTGTTTGTGAATCGCCGAATGGCTGCCTCATAGGCCTCCTCCGATCCCAGTGGAGCAGCCTTCTTCTGGAGGAACCACTTGTGTAGTTGAGAAGAGTCAATCTGCATTGCGGAGCGCACTCGCTGACCCTGTATAGACATGATGGTCTGCGAGTTGCGCACCACCTCGATGAGACCCATCTCGTCGCCTGTGGCAAGGCAGTCGTAGGTGGTGAGATCAAGGTTAAAACCTTCCTCCTTCCAAATGTGGTCCATCACCTTGAGAATCTGGAGAGTGAGCATGTCCTGTCGCAGATCATCACCGTGTTTGAAGAGAAGTTGGTGAATCATGTGGTGGTGGGATGCGAGGTTGTCTGGATTGGCCCACGCTATCCAAAGGGGGCGCTTTTTGGAGCGTTTTACAGTACATTGTTGTTCCACCACTGGACCAAGCTTGATGGAGAAGCGTAGGGGAGAGAGGATGTTCTCAAGGTCGCCTCGAACCTCACTACGATGTAGCTCAAACTTGAAACGGGTCCGCTGTTCCTCGTCCTCCGCGACGCGCTGAAATGAAAATGAATTTAGTTAATCTTCTTTACAATGAGACAATACGTAGAGACCATAGAGACGGATAGCCTCGGCTAGTAAATTAGCCAGCATTAGACTGGGACTGGCTTAATAATGTAAACAAAGGAAACCTCGATCAAAGTTCAAAGTAGGTCAATCTCTAGGCCAGCCTAGTAGTCTCATGGTTCCTTCCACTTGATGACAAACGCGTTCAGGAGCCAC